TAAGTTTTTAAATCTGTCGTTGTTATTTGTTTCGAGTTGTGGTCGACATAACTAATCCATGTGGATGGTTAATGTATTTTTGTCAATGAATTAAATTTGTTTAATTTGTTTTAATGATGAATGACCTTTCTCTCTCACTTTTTTTGTTTTTGTTTTTTTTGTTTTTTTTTTTTTGATATACGGTTTCGAATATGTAGCTAGTTGACTTAGCTATGGTGACCTTAATCTTTCATTTTGTGAATAACGATAGAACATAAGCTTACAATTATACATTTTAGAAACTTCAATTTATATACATGATTAAGTTGCATGTTTGTGATTTTTGGAAAGATAATTGTTATGAAACCTAATTGGCAAAGAACAAGGATCGTTCTTGTGCTTACGACCTATGGTGAATATCTAGCATAATCCTTGACCTCCTAGAAACGTAAGTTGAATCCCAAACTTTCTATTGCCTTATTATTAAAAAATCAAATGAATAAATAGAGTACAAAAACTGATGATATAATACTAAGAGTACAAACCCTACCCTTATTCTTATCATATATAGAATATAACTAACAATTGTAGCATATTTGTTCCCCAGGGCATAGCCCAATGGTGCAAAGGACAAAAGTGAGGTTATCTCACGCCTTACTGGTAGTCGCAGTGTGGGGGTTCGATTCCTGAAACATGGAATTGGACTCCTTGTAGGCGTAGTGTAGAGGCAACTCTTGTTCCCTGGCCTGTTGGGGCACATCCTGCGATTTACCTTTCTCACAAAGCTCTAGGGACGGGGCGGTGGGGGCCCTCAAGGTTGGGGTTCAACGTTTTTTTTTTTTTTTTATTAAACAATTGTAGCATATCTAAATGTACTAATAATTGGATAAAATTTGGCATCTTCAATAATTGGACAATATTTGGCACCTTTTAGAATTCTAAAGTTATATGGATTATTCATTCTGCCTCTTCTGCCGTGTATCAATAATATACTTACCATGCTTTTTGTTTTCGTTGTCGTATTGTTTGTTGAATTCATTATAGTCGTAATGTAACTTTACAACTCGTAAAATATGCACTTTGTGAGTAGTGTCGGTCCTGTGATTTTTGGGGCCTGAAGCGAACTTCCTAAATTAGGCCCCAAAAATTATAGTTTGCATGCAAATTTTATCTGTGTCTTATTAAATCAATTGTTAAATTATTAACTTAAAACTTAACAGTAAAACAACAAACAAAATGTATTATACACAATCTTTTTATTATAATCAAATAACAAATTTGACAATGTCCCTATTAATCAATTAAATACTAAACAGTCAATGTTCTACCATTTCATGCCAAAATGATTTCAATATTACTTTCGAATTCTGAATTTAAACTCCAAAGTACATAGAAACCAGAGAAATAACATTTAGGGGGTGTTTGTTTTCAATTTTTGTAAAAATGAGAATGAAAAATATAGTCGTTATGGGCCCCACACAAGAGATAGAAATTCAAATTTGGTACTTGATGTGATGGATAACTATCATATTTTTCATTTTAATGTGGAAAGAATGAGAAACAAACAGGGACTTAATTCCCAATCAAATAAGTAGTATCTAACGATCAAAGAAAAATTATGATTCACTTGAAGTATAAGATAAATTCAATTCCCCATACAAACATGATATAAGAGATGATAGGCATCCGAAAGTTCTTAAGAATTTCAACTTCAACAATACACAAACCCCACAAATATAGCAAAACATCTATCAATCTACATAGCTACATAATGTTTATTTTCAAAAGTAGCATTATAATCATATATCAATCATAATTATAACTTAATATCATATATTAATTAGGAAGAAAAGACAAAAATAACATACACATTTAACTCTTTCTTCTTATAATATCTGATTGAAAGTAAAACAACAAGATTATTAGCACAATTCTTTTTAAAGAGAACCCAATAATTCAAGGAAAATACTTGTTGATTTGTTAATTTTTCAACCCAAGTAATCTCAAGAAAGGTTTCTATCTTTTTTTATGAATGATAAGTATAAAAGTAAACTAGAATCATTTCAAAGCACATATAAGAAAATAAAATAGAATTACAAACCTAAGAGGAGGATAAACTTGAAGCAGCAAGCCTGTTTCTGGAAAATATCACTCACAAATTGAGAAATAATTGATAGGATTTTCTATTGGATTTAACTTAAAATTAACTAAAAATTGATTGCAGATTCTCTCTCGCACACATGCACATAGGCCAAACGGGAAGAAAGAAATTGGCCTTACATCTAGTTTTTTTATCCATTCCAAAAAAATAAATAAAAAAATAAAAAATCAGAGGCCCCTTTTTAAATTGGGCTTGAGGCAGAGGCCTCATTTGCCTCTGTCCAAACCTTGCCTGTTTGTGAGTTGCAGTGAATCTATCTTTACAATTATCACGCTAATTGGACAATACTAGAGTGAAACAATAACCGACAACCAAAGGCGTTTATGCAGGACCAGTTTTCCTCTTTCAACCAGTACCACAATCCAAAACAACTCAAAAATGCTCTAACTTTTTCGCACTCACAGTTGCCAAGAGATAACCACTTAGAAGACCACAAAGGTAGGCAAGAGCACAAAGATAATCACCACAAAGGCAGAAGTGTGAGAAAAGCGGAAGTAAGCAGAGAGAAAGAGCCGTTTTTCTCACAAAGAAGGGTGCACATAGGTTGAGGCCGAGAAAGAGAGAAAACCAAATTTAATCAAGTGAAAGTTGCCACATAAGGTAGGTGGTATTAGGGTAAGTGATGGGTCAAGTAAGATCCTAACACTAGATAAATGGGCTACCTCTCATTTGACTATCCAAGCAAGTGGGTTGGGCCATGCGCAATACTAAGTATTTAGGCTGTTTCAAATAGCCCAATTAACCTTTAGATCGAGTCATCTTGATTGTGGTGCTAATTTATCGGTCAGTTACTTGGCTGAACCAACTGAGAATTAAGCCGAGTTAACATTGCATTCTGAGACGTCGTTTGAGAACAATTTGCCCAACAACTAGAAAATGTCATGCTTGTTGTGATGTTGCCTAAACCAAATACGGAAGTGGAAAGGCCTAAGAGCATTTCCGATCGTGGTGTAAAATAGATATAAGTTGTGATTTAGATCTTCAAAGTAGCCAAAAACCTCTTTAATGGATAGATGCAAAGTGAAATGAAAATTCTAGAAGAAAATGTTAAAAAAAAAAAAAAAAAGGGGTATAAATTCAGATTATTTTTACATCCACAAGAGGTAAACAAATGAATTTAGTTCTTTTCATTGGAGTAAAATTTGAATTTAGATCCAATATATGTAAAAAAGGATGTAAAAGTAATTTTGGATATACCAATTTACATCCAATTTTACATCTCTATTGGAGATGCTCTAAAGACACAAAATACAAGTCTGCTTTAGAACAAACTCAACCAGTCCGTTGTGGACAATGATAGTTCAGACTAAAATAGAACAACTTTCAAGAGATCCCAACCTTTTAAGCAGATATGCCAAAAACGTGAAATGTATATTTGCTATGTTATACTACACAATAACAAAGATCATTTTTATTCATTCAAACTCCCAAGAAAAACTCTAGTAGTAATATGTAGCATACACAGAGAATTTATTTTGTCTGCTCGGATTGCAAAACATAACTAGGAGAAATATTACTTTTGACGATGCTGTAAATCTAGAGTTCATCCTTGCGTGGTGTTGGATTATCAGCCGATAACTTGGTGGGGTACGAGGCCTCCATAGCTATGCCACATAGCCCTTCTGATGCATCGACATCACGTTGCATCCTAATGTAGCCCTGTTCTCCCCAGTCGGGTCCCCATGAATTCTTCACTATCCAATATTTCGTACCATCAAGAGTCGTTCCATAGCCCACAGCTGCCACCCCATGGTCTAGCTCCATCCCGCAATATCCATTATACACTCCCTGCAGTTGTAGAATGTTTTCTAGACATCGTTAGAACAGAAAATTATGGTAAAAACACGTTCCTAGAGTACCAACCGATCATCAGTGGTCGTTATAGGTAGTGAAATGCATCTAGTGAAACTATACCTCAGAGTAGAATTGCATGTCAGAACCACCAGCATCAATTGCAACAGAAACAGGCTGATTTGCAACGGCTTTCATCAAGGCATTTTCATCATTCGCAGGTACCATTTCATACCCATCAATCATGACAGCTGGAGAATTCATCTACAAAACCAAAACAAGTGAACAGAAGGGCAGATAATTCACCATTTTCTCGTTAACAAAAGCCAAGTTAGATTATTGAGGTACTTTCTTTTGCTCAATTTATTTTTTCATCAGACGATTTTATACCTTGTTTGAATCACAGTTCCCTTCTCTGGCTCTGTATGGATATATTCTTTCAGTCGTTAAGCCACCCTGTTTCTTGATAAACTCAAACGAGTGTTCCATTAGTCCTCCGTTGCAGCCTTCATTATCCTTTTCACAATCAACTAGCTCTTGCTCCGATAAAGAGACTAACTGACCAGTTTTAATTTTGTTGATCCCTTCAACTCCAACAACAGCTGAAAATGCCCAGCAACTACCTGCATAAAATTTATTCAATCCAAACACAAAATCATTACGAACATAAATATAATTTGAATTGAAATCTTTATGTTCAGACCATATGTTGGGAGGTTATCTTGAAATTTCTCTACGGGACTTACCACATCTGCCTTGATCCTTAACACCAGTGACGGCGCCTTGCTTTCTCCAATCAACAGAAGCAGGCAGATTTACAGTTTTTCCATGTATGAATCCGGTTCTGGCTCGACTACCATGGAGCATTCTATGATGTTTGATCTTAGAACTGTAAAAGTTTCTGAATTCGTGGCTGGTCATATCAGCAAACTTATTGAGTTTCAACTTGTAAGGCCTGTCCATCTGGTTCACCTTGTGTATGTGCAGCACGTTCTCCTTGAACACATTGAAACGCCTTTTTTTCTCAGTTACATCCCGAGAAACTGTGTGGTGACTCCTCCACCTATCGTACAAATCCGACAGGCTTTCATCTGAAGCCAAATCCTTCTCCGTGAACTCCATGCCCTCTGCAAGTCTAAAGATCAAAATCAACAAAACAGAAGCCAAAATCACCCTCCAAATCCCCATCTTTTCGATATCAGAGTTCAGTTTTTCAACAGAAAAGTGAACAAGCTTATCGCAGGATGCACATATCATTGGCTTTTCTATTTGATCAAGAATAACTTGAGTGTGTTCTTATAGACAGTGGGCAGTATCAAAGAACAAAAAAGCTAGAATCATGTTTATTGTAATGTGTAATCTTGTGTGCTAAACAGTCTCTAATCTTCTACAGAAATCCCGGGATAAAATTGTTTTTCTATTGACGTTTTGCCTGCTATTTTTAGAAGGGAGATTTGTACTCTATACTTGATAATATATACTCATCATGCCCTTCATGCTTAGGTTGTTTGTCTGTTCACAGAAGCTGATGAATTGTCTTATAAGGCTGCAGCCTCTATAACACGTTTCCTCTCAGGTGTATTTGTCAATGAAGTGCTCAAAATCTTGTGCAACACTCAAAGTTTGAGTCTGTTTTAGATTTGTTCGTCCGGAATTTGAACTTCTATTGTTGCCGGTTTAGGGCTTCTCCTCCCCACTTCCAAACGCTGATTCGTAAGCAATGTTACTAAGTAATAAAGATAAGACTACTGTGATTTTTTCATCAAATAGTAGTAAATTTCAGCTTAATTCAGCTTGAAGAAACAGAAATGTTGGAAAAACTCGAAAAAATTGCCCATCCTAATAGTATGGATTGACAGTCGAGACCATGAAAGCAAGCAATAGCAGTCTAGACAACTATAGACATGGATTAAGTCAACGAAAGGAAAACGGATGAATAAAGGATTAACTGATTTATTTTAAACAAAATATTCATCAAGACAACCAATAAGACTGAAAATGTTGCACATCACTCAAATCAGTTCTCAAAATTATACCTTCTACCTAGAGCAAATCCAGTGTCATTATCATTGACAACTGCATCAACCTAATACCCTGAAATCACATCAGCTACTAATCATTAAGCTTCAAATTCATAGAAATTATTAATTTTGGCTACAGGCCAGTTCTTAAACCAACTAGAAAGGGTGCCCGGTAAGAACCACTGCCCAATTATCAACCGCACGCAATGTTCCTAGCCATGCATTCCTTGCTGCAACAAGGAGAAGATTCAGTATCAGAAGATAATGTCAATTTTGTTTGATATTTTTTCTTGAACACTGTTTCATACCTTTCAGTTGTGACAGAAGAAATATCATCAAATGTTTATACATGAGTGAAAGAGCTAACCAGAAATAATTAACTCAAAGTTCTTTTAATGATTGAACTCGAACACATAATTTCACGTATATAGACGTGAACATACACCTTGTGAATAAAACTTGAACCTCAGAACAAATTTGTGTTAATAAATATACCACCAAGTAATACTTCAAATTGGGATTTTCCTATAATTAACATAATCTACGCTAGTCAAGTAGATATTTGCTCAATTTATATATATTAAATAAGAATAAAAGCCCAGATAAGCGCATAAAATGCACTTGTCACTTCTTCTATGCATGTCAGGATGTAAAGTTTAGATGTTCATGCCAAAATCCCACTGGGGTGCTGGTCGAGTTTTGTAAACCCGAAATTAAGATTTGTTATCGACCAAACTGAGGTTGAAATTTTTTTCTATTTAATTTGATCAACCCTTTTATCCAGTAAAAGATCCAATATAACAACGGCAGAGCCAGGAATTAATGTTATGGGAGGCAAAAAACTTTAAAAATTTAATCTACGAATAAAATTTATATATAATAAGAAAAATTCATAATATAAGTTACCTATTGTAGTTGTATTCGCGATGTTTTATAGCATAAAATTCATCATTAATAGAATATAGATCTAAATTCATATTAAATTATCATTTAATGTTTAGTGTTAAACAATCAGCAAGAAAACCATATTTGATTGGAAATTATTTCAATTGGTTTTGCAAAATAGGGGATTATATGTGAATAAATAATAGGAAGAAATGGGATAAATGGGTACTATCAATTGATACAAATAAGTGGGCTAAAATTATATAAATTAGTGGGCTAAACATTAAAACAAAAAAATATCTGAGGTGGACAAGTCCATTGAATTTTATTGACTAATGACATATACAATACTTGAATTCTTGATGTAGATGCTACATAGTTGGTTCTAGGGGTTGCCGAAAAGAAAGAATTTTGTTTTGCCCCTTTTCTATAAAAGTCAATTGATGGGCTAATAGACTAAAATTCACAGCAAAAATAAAATAAAAATAAAAAATTAAAGCATCTGTGCCTGGTCAACAATGGGCCGCAGCCAAGTGCAGCCCACCTCTAAATCCACCCGACTGATGCTGAACGTGGCTGCAGCCCACCTCTAAATCTGACCGACTGATGCTGAACGGCTGGACCTACCATTAACAGTTCAAATATTTATACTGTACACGACGAAAATGAAGTTCAAAACAATGCAACATTGTTACCTATTCAGAGCCTCAAGTTGTAAATATTCCATTTTTTATTTAACATTTTTATCTTTTGGCACAACGAATGTTACATAAATCCAAACATTTAGGCCATGAAATAAATATGCATGTGAGTATAATAAACAATTTAACATTAAAAACCTGGAAAGTGGTTTGAGTTTTCAAGGTCTTTCCCCCTAAAAGGCGGCAGATCTTGATGGATATACCTTTTATAAAATCTGCATGCCGTCTAAGATGAGAATGTAAGACCGATAATAGCTGTGGAAACCGTCAACAGCTGGGAAAAGCAAAGCTACAATCAGATTAAGGTGCAGCTATATAGCCACATTTAATTGGTACATTTAGTATGTTGTCCTGAGCTTTTTAGGAATAAACTTGTGTTTTTAGTATAAAATGGAGTTGGAGTTTGGAAATAATTGTTATATGGGATCTCTATTATCTAAATAATTGACAAAATGGGAGGCTTTTTCAGATATGCTGATTTTGCCGACAAGTTGCTGATGTTTCTTGGTATTTTGGGCTGCTTGGGAGATTCATTGGCCGATCCATTGGCCATGTCTGTCCTGAGTGAAGCCTTAGATGCATTCGGAAGTGCAGATCAGTCTATTGCGAAAGGGGCAGTGCGCAAGGTATGTTGAAGACAAAATCTAAGCTATAAACTGTGTGTACTTTAACGTAGTATCAGATCAGTTAAAAGTCTTTGGTTCAAGTCTCCTCGTCTCCCATTTATGAAAATTGCGCGCTTGAAGAAACTAATTCAACAATTTTTTACTTCAATTACAATGTATCATGGAATTTCGTGTTGAAACATTAGTTTGATTTCAGTTATACTTGTGTTTTCGCTCAGTATGCACTCCAGCTTATGTATGTTGCTGTTGGAGCCGGATTTGCTGCTTTCCTTGGTATGGCAACTTTCTCAGAAAATTCATGGATATTTGTAGAGGGATGTTCTCAGCTGGTTTATCATTATCTTTTGATATATTAATTTGTTTCTTTGATTCTACTGGAAAAAAGGGACAATTGATTTGCTTGCAAACGGATAATTTGAGGTCTGAGGTCATATTAATTGTGTAAAATTGCAACTTCTCAAACTGTTATTTCTAATTGTGACCCTGTTAACTTGTTTCATTACATGACATATATTTTGGTCCTAAACTTGATCAACTAATAACGACTTCGCTTGATCACCAACAATCAGGAAAGTTGGAATTCATCGAAAGGTTCAAAAACCTGTTGATTATCGATCATTTTATTTATTTGAGATTGGTTACTGCATTTACAGAAGGAGTTTGTTGGACAAGAACTGCTGAGAGGCAAACATCTCGTATACGGACAAAATACTTAAAATCGGTACTTAGACAAGAAGTTGGTTTCTTTGACAACCAAGACGCTTCATCTACCACCTTTCAAGTTGTCTCCAACATTTCTGCAGATGCCCACTCGATTCAAGATGCTATAGCTGAAAAGGTTCTTTATTGTTTTTTGATTATCGTTTTGTCCATCAACCAGTCTTCCATATGTAGTTAAATGAAAAGGCCGTTTCCCCCCTCTTTTGAGATTTTATAATTATTATTATTTTTTACCTTATATAGATACCAACCTGTCTGGCTCAACTCTGCGCTTTCATGTTTAACCTAATAGTTGCCTTCCTACTTTCATGGAGACTAGCATTGGCATCCCTTCCATTTGCAATCGGGTTTATAGCCCCAGGGGTGGGATTCGGAAAATATTTGATGGACCTAGGAATCAAGAGTAAGGATGCTTATGGGGTTGCAGGTTGTATTGCGGAACAGGCAATATCATCTATCCGAACTGTATATTCCTATGTTGGCGAGCACCAAACACTCGATAGATTTAGCCATTCTCTTCATGAAAGTATGAACCATGGGATAAAACAAGGATTAGTGAAGGGGTTGCTGATAGGAAGCATGGCAACAATTTTTGCAACTTGGGCATTTCAATCTTGGTATGGGAGCATTCTTGTCACTGAAAGAGGAGAGAGTGGCGGCCATGTTTCAGTATCAGCCATATGTATCATCCTTGCAGGAATGTGAGTTCCTTTGTGTTGAACTAATTAATCTAAAAGTTTAATCTGTTAGATAGGGCCAACATATAAACCATTTAAATATTAACTTCAAATAGGCCCCCTCATCTGTAGACAATGGTCATTTTCCCCTTCCAAAGCCTAACATGTAGACAATTTTTATTGAATGGGTGCAAGCAAGACTTGATCCCAGATCCTTTGCTTGCTTTGATATCATGTTCAACCAATTCATCTGAAAAATACTGTCCTTTGCCTCAGTTTGGCAAAATTTATAAATCATCAAACTTTATTTTCAATCACATATTGAAATGGACATTGAGCAGTATCCATTTATCTACCATTTATTTCTATTTATCTATAAATTGAACCATTTATAAATTCTTCCTAAATGGATTCGTGCAGTGGTTTTAAACTAAAGACACAACTTAGAAGTGAGTGGAAGAGCATTGCTAAAAGGATTAATCGTTCAGAGGTTTTAAACTAAAGACAACTCAGAAATGAGTGGAAGAACATTGTTAAACCCGGTCAAGAAAACAAACAAAACTAAAAGTTACAATTGATTGATTGACTATCTAGATGAATATATATTACTATTATTCATAATTATGTATGTTCTTTATACTTTACCAATAGAATGAACGCAAAGAAGTTATGCTGTTTTGTGACTATCTTCAGATGTTCGAACGCATTTCACCTTTCTAGTGAATTGCAGGTCCTGTATGACTGCACTCCCTAATCTCCCATTTATCACAGAGGCGTCAACTGCTGCAAAAAGAATTTTTGAGACGATTGATTGTATCCCTCAAATAGACTCTGAAAATGCAGAAGGGAAAGTTTTAGCAAATGTGAGAGGGCAAATTGTGTTTAGACAAGTTCATTTTAGTTATCCATCAAGAAAGGATATGTTTATCCTCCATGGTTTCAATCTCCTCATAGAAGCTGGTAAGACAGTGGGTCTTGCTGGTGCAAGTGGTTCAGGAAAATCAACTATTGTTTCATTGCTAGAAAGGTTTTATGATCCCATCTCAGGAGATATACTACTTGATGGGCACAGAATAAATGAACTCCATCTGAAATGGTTAAGATCTCAAATAGGGCTGGTTAATCAACAGCCAATTCTCTTTGCTACATCCATAAAGGAAAATATATTGTTTGGTAAGGAAGATGCTACAATGGAATTGGTTATAAGTGCAGCTAAGGCTGCAAATGCACATGAGTTCATAAAAAATTTACCAGAAGGATATGAAACTCAAGTAAACTATTTTTCCAAGCTTCTACATTTGATAATATTTTTCTTGTTATTTTACTCGAGTTTATTTTGATTTTAGTAAATCTCAGGTGGGAGAGTCTGGTGTTCAGTTATCAGGAGGGCAAAAGCAAAGGATAGCAATAGCACGGGCATTGCTTAAAGATCCAAGAATCTTTTTGCTTGATGAAGCTACTAGTGCATTGGATGCACAATCTGAAGGCATAGTACAGGTAGCCATTGACAAGGCTTCGCTAGGAAAAACAACCATTGTCATTGCTCATCGCCTCACCACAATCCATAATGTCGAGAAGATTGTCGTACTTCAATCCGGGAGAGTTGTTGAATCAGGGTCTCATGACGAGCTGATGCAAATAAATAATGGGGAAGGTGGAATTTACTCTGAAATGGTAAAAGCGCAGAAATCGGCAATGACTAAGCCTCCTAATAGTCCACGTCACCATATGGAGGAAAGATACCATAAGAGGACAACATATGCCCACAGTCCCATGTCCCCTTTCAACTTAAGCAGGCAAAATAGGACAGCTCTTGCCATTCACTCTAAGGTTTCACCAACTCATAACAGTCTCCCATCGACCTATAGCGATTATCACCAAAATAATGCTGACAAATTAGAATGTTCTTCTCCAAGTCATTTGCGCTTATTTCAAATGAATGCTCCAGAATGGAAGAAAGCCTTGCTTGGGTGTGCAGGAGCTGTTGTCTTCGGTGCAATCCAGCCAATTCATGCTTACTTCATGGGCGCAATGGTCTCACTATACTTTTCTGATGACAGCTCAAAACTAAAATCCCAGACCAGATTGTACTGCATCATCTATTTATGTCTAGGCATTATCAGTTTCTTCGCCAGTGTACTCCAGCATTACAATTTTGCAATCATGGGAGAAAGATTAACTAAGAGGGTACGGGAAAAATTTCTTGAGAATGTTCTTACTTTTGAGGTAGGATGGTTCGATCATAATGAGAATACAAGTGCTGCAGTTTGTGCAATGTTGTCGACTGACGCCAATATAGTTCGATCTCTTGTTGGAGATCGAATGTCATTAATGGTTCAGGCCTTT